AGTTGGAGTGTACTAGCAGAAGTGTCGTTACAAAGGTGTGTCATTCATCTGCTTCTCCAACATGTACTTGCTACGTTGAAATGTACTGGCAGAAGTCTCGTTACAAAGGTGTGTCCTTCATCTGCCTCTTCAACATGTAGGCTACTTACTGCTGCACGCTTGTACATTGAAGCAGAAGGGTCTATGCCCTGTGGATACTTGAAAGAACATGCAAATGTCTTGCCCTTTAATCACGAAACGCACAAAGACATGTTTTGATTCATGTACGCAGAAGACAGAAGAGTGTCATGGGCACTATGCTAGAAGAAGAACCGAGCATACTTTGCTACAAGCAACGGAAAGTATATCCAAGATTTTGACTAAGGCAATTCTGTAATGACTGCTCCCGCGTCCCTGAAGTAGGGAGTTGTTTCCGAGGGTGTCGAAGTGTTAAACTTCGATAGGATCCTGTAGAACAGTTTCATGGACTTAAGGAAGTCGAAAGTACCCTCCTTCATCTAGCCTTTGACTAGGAACTGGAAAACACGAGCATTCGTGACAGTCAAAATGTCGGATCGATGGTATAGGTGAGGTAGGCTTTCTAGGAAGTCAGCTACTGAAGGGTACGCCTCCGTATCTAAGAGACCTGGAGACCGCAAGTCCCGAACCATTCCCCATCGGTCATTACGAGTTTGACCTTTAATCTCGAGGTCGCCGAAGATGCTGAATAGGTGTCCCCAGTGAATGCCGTGGATGTCCTCGTCGCTGCTGAGGGCNGGCGCTCTCGCTGTCGTATTGCCTGCTGCTGTCGATGCTGGTGAAGCTGCTGTTGACGCTCCTGGAGGAAGCGCTGCTCACGGTGATGACGCTCCTGGAGTCTGGCGACCCTTGAGTCCGATTCATGGTGGTGGTCCATTGATGAAGAAGAAAAATGGGAGAGAGGAAACTGAAGTGGGCCCTGTGGGGGCGACAGCGAGGTAATCGCTGGATTACACCGGTCGGGTAGTTGTCTTTTGCAGCCAGGTAGATGCTGTCGTCGGGTCGATGCTGAGCTGCGAAGCCCGGAATACTCCCCCGCACGGCGTGTTCGGAGAATTGTCAAAGAAATGTCGTGGAAACTGGAGGAAAGGCGTTCACGCGGCGAGATGCACGGGTCCCAACGGTTGCTTGACGGGGTACCACCCCACTTGAAGTGTAGATACGTTGAGCCCCTGCCGCGCATGCACGGCAGTCGACTTTTGATGATCATAAAGTCCATGGAGATCCAGCTGCTGGCGGCTAGATGAACAGCGACACTTGGCGGATGATGCAGTCCTGGAGCTCCTTGACGAGGCTTTTCGTCAGGATGTCGCTTAACATGTGGGAAGAAGGAACGTGGTCCAGGGCAATTCTTGAGGAGGAGACCCAGCCGCGGAGTGCTTCATAGCGAACACTGATGTGCCTCGAGCGGTTCGAGAAAGTTCCATTGGAAAAAAGAGAGAGGGCGCTCCGGGTGTCGGTGAGTAGCTTGAACTTGAGTAGCTGGCTCCATCCTAGCTCTCCCATGAGCGAAGAGAAGTAAACTCCATGTTTCGCTGTCGAGTTGATGGTGAAGAATTCTCCCTCGCTGCTGCTTTGAGCGACGATCCTTTGTACTCTGGAACTGAAGTAGATGAGATCTCCAGCGAGAAAGACCATGGATCCAGTGACGCTCTTGTAGTCCTTAGTCGAAGCGTAGCTGGCGTCCGAATAGCAGGGAAGTTCGAAGCGGCTGTCCTTGCGGTAGACCAGAGATAGATTTGGCCTCTTGCGGAGGTATCGAAAAATGCTTTTGATGTTGGCGAGATGACCCTCCCGCGGGCTAGACATGCGCCTCGCCGCTATAGCCAGGAGTAGGCGCTGGCTGCCTATACGGCACACAGGCACGAAGGTCGTCAAGCAGTCAACTCCGTGCTGCTGTGCCCATCCCTGAACGACAACTCTTGCCTTAAACCTGCCGTCCGTTTTGACCCTGTAGACCCAGCGCGTGCCGATGATGCTGTAGCCGGCGAGAACAGAGGAGAAGGGGATGAGGTCGGCGACTGCGTGATCGTTGAGGCTGTCGAGCTCCTTGCGCATGGCCTTCTCCCATTGGGTTGCTTGAGGTGAGACCATGGCTTGCATGTACGTGTTGGGCACGTCGACTGCTGCTGGCGGAAGAACACTGTCGATGTCGACGGCTCCAATATACTCGGTGTAGGAGTCCAGGGTGTCTTGTGTCGAGTCGATAGTTGCCAGATTAAGTTGCTGCAGAGCTCGTGCTTGCCGAGGGTTGATGTAGTCAGGCTGCGGGAGGTCATTCGGAGTTGATGAGCGCAGCCGAGAACTGATCTTGCCCGCTCGCGGATCTTGGGCGGCGGGGCTGCTGCGGCTGCTGTTGGTGTTGCTTGAGCTGGTGCCCGTTGATTCGGTGTCCGTTTGCTCCAAAAGCGAAATACCCTTGTTGATGATGTACTCGTCCGGCGATGCCGTTTTGTCTTCGAAATCAGAAACAGACTCATCTGAAGCGTCGACTGTAGGAATCACAGCGGGTGGCTCCTCGATGAACGTGACGTTGCGGGAGCTCGTGATGCGTCTTGTTTCTCGGTTGTACACTTGAAATGAAGGACTGTCGCTATTGTAGCCCACGAGAATTCCTTCCCACGCCTTGGGCTGTAGCTTGTTGGTGTGTCCCTCAACGTGGACGAAAGCCCGACATCCGATGATGCGCAGAAAGGAAAGCTCGGCTTGTTTGCCGAACATGCGGTAGTACGGCGTGTCCCCTTGCAGGGCCTTGTGCGGTAGACGATTTATCAAGAAGACCGAAGTTGCAGCGATCTCCCCCCATAAAATTTTTGGGAGGCGCGCCTCATTTAAAATGCAGCGCGTCATGTTGAGAATAGTCCGTCCGTCGCGCTCCGAGATGCCGTTTTGCTGCGGCGTGTGGGGCGAAGTGAAGGTCTGCACAGCGCCAGTGGTCTTGCAGTAGTTGCGGAAGGCGCTGTTCACGTACTCCTTGCGGTTGTCCGAATGAAGACGCTGAATACGAAGACCCGACGGAATAGCCACATCTTGCGTAAAATTCACGAAAGGCAAAAGCGCTTCGTCCTTGTACGCGATAAAGTAGACGGCGTTGAGCCGTGTGATGTAGTCGTTAAACTTCGATATGTAGCTGTAGCCTCCGAGTGCAGGAAGCGAAATAGGACCGATGAGGTCGGTGCTGACGACTTGAAGAGGCTGCGTGATGTTATCGCTTATGACAGTCTTGGGGTGATTATTCTGCACGCACTTGTTGACGTGGCAAGTGTCACATGCCGAGAAAGAGTCGTGGAGATGAACCTCGCTGCCGTCCGCGCGAGCTAATTTTTCCAGCACTTGTACACTTGGATGTCCCAGTCCTTTGTGCCAGATGTTGGCGGGGGTCTTGGGCGGATTTAACTGCGAAGGTAGTATGCTGCAAAGAAGCTGTTGTAGACCCTTGTGAAGAAGCCGTGGTAGACCCAGAAGAAGCTTGACGATCGCTACGTTTGCGCGGCAAGTCCGCGCCAGAGATCGTCACAAAGGCGTGCTGCGTAGCCACGCTGTCGGCGGTGATGGCCAGGTCGAAGTGGAAAAGCGTGTCGCAGTTTGCATCTGGTTGAACAGGAATTTGAAACGATCCCATGTCCAGGCAAGGCGACTTTGGCGTAAACAGAACACCCACCCCGTGCTTCATCGCTGTCCCTCCGGAAAACAGGTGACGCCCCAGGTCGGGGACGCAGAAGAAAGGAAGGCGGATTGCGCGGGGGGTGCCTTGACGATCGGAGACGGTGACCTTGAGAGCCCCCATGGCGGAGCTGTGGGGCTGCCCTTTGCCGGGGACGTCGATGATGAGGGGGGGGTCGATCTTTGTGTACTCGGTCATGTTCTGGGTGATGTCCGGCAGGAGGTTGGTGTCCAGGAAGTGGGTTGAGACGCCGGTGTCCACGGTCATGGTAAATCGAACCGGCTCCGGCTGTGGGTTGGTTTGTGACGCGAGAAACGAAAATCCAACGCCGGAAGGGGGGACGGAGAGGGAGGTAGCAGAACCCGGCGGTTGCTGCCCGGCAGGGTTGTACGCTTGGACCATCGTGGTTGCAGACGGCGGGGCAGGAACAAGTTGACCATAATCGGCTTGAGCGCTGCTGGTGTAGGCGTCGGTGTTATTGTTGTAGTTGCCTCCGTTGTTGTTGGTGAAATTGCGGCGGCGCTGTTGTCCTCCCTGGTTGCGGCGGCGTCCGTCGTTGTTGCGTTGCTGTCCTCGGGAACGTCTGTTTGGTTGGCGGGAGTTGCCGTCGTTGTTGTTGCGCTGTTGCTCACGACAAGTAGAATTGTCGTGTCGCGAGGTCTTGTGCAGGGTGCACCAGTGTGGAAGCGTTCCCCGTTCTCCTTTTATTTTATTTTGATCGGTCTCCTCGACGCTCTTTCTCGTTTGGTGCGGTAGCTGGTCTTTCTTTCTATCATTTTGTTTCTCTTCCGAGTGGTTTTTGTGCCCTATTTTTTTCTGTTTCTTCGTGGGGTCGTGTATGCCGGGTTTTGAGACCACGGGCTCCCAACCTTTCTTTTTTTAGAGCTAATGTGAGAAACAACAACAACAACAACAACAACAACAACCAGTCGCCCGTCCTGCCGCCGGGAGCTTGTCCCGCTGGCTTTTTGTTGCCTTTTTTGAAATATTCAGTTTCAGAGTGTCCTTTCTTACGACAGAAGGTGCGAAATTTTGTAGACGCCGTGGTAGACATTGCAGACGAACGAGCTTTCGCGGCGCGCGAAAGCTCGTTTGCAGCGTCGCGATTAGCCCGCATATTTCGCATGGTTTCCATCGCGGCGTTTAATTCGAAGTCTTGCTGAGATTCCGCAAAAGTTTAACTTGTGACTATCATACCGTTTAGAATAACGCCGAAAATTTCATCATCATCAACATGCTGGCCCATGGCCTTGAGCTCGGCCTGCAGTGTAAATAGCTCTTGAAAATAGACGTCGGGGTCTTGGCCTTCTTGCATGACGCGGCAGGTGAGCTCCTTACGAACAAGCATAGTCCTCTGCCGCGTGTGGTTCTTGTACTTGTTGATCAACCCTTTCCACATGGCAATGTCATTTGGCAGCATACCTTCCTCGGGCGCAAATTGTTGACGATAGCTAGCCGTGGGCCCTGTCGTGGAGAGATACAAATGGTGGTAGAGATTCTCGTTGCAGGTGAGCCAGTCCTTGATGTCCTTGGAATTGGTGACGTCTCCAGACATGTCCCACATGATAGATGCGGGGACGTTGACAGTTCCAGTGGTAGATGACGTGATGGCCGTTGCTTCATCGTCCGCAGAGCCGCCGCTGCCGCCGCCGGTAGGAGCGGACACGAAACGGTCGAAGCGATCGCGCAAACGCGCGGGTTCCCCAGATGTGGAGTCGTCCGGCTTGGAAAAAATCGGCGGTGGGCAAGGACGGCCTTGAAGAATAGCCGCAATGCCTTTGTCCTTTGAGCTAAGGACGCTGATGGCATGACGACGCCAGATTTCGAAACCTGTGCCGCTGAATTTTCCAACGGATTTGGGTATTTCGGAAACGACGTCATTTGAAGGTTTGCTATCGCCTATGGTGCTACGTTAGCGGTGCACTCGAAGACGACGATGGTAGGCGAAGTACTAGACGATGGAGCGGCTGCTGAAGTCCAGGACGGCTGACGGCCGCAGGTTTACTACTGCGGTCGTGTGAAAAACGCGTCTGGAGCTTTAATGCGCGCAGACATTTTTCTGCGGACTTGATTGACAGTCCCGCGAAGGTTCCAGGAATGCTCAAAAGGTCGGAGTACCTGGGTAGACGGCGAGGATGGCCGATGGAGAGGCTGACGCTGCGAAAGACCGTGCCTTGATGCCGACGTGTGTTACTGCAGAACTTGTCGGTCTTGGGTGCGGTGGGCGCGTCGATGTAGAACGTGTAGAACTTGCGGACTCCTCGAAGAACAACGTTCGTTACGAAGATCGGCGCGGAGAGGGCTCAGGGAAATATCTAGAACGGTGTCTCGGTGGAAAGTGGAGAGGTAGTGTGTAGAGCTTGTAGGACTTGACGAACGTCTCGAACGTGCAGAACGTGAAGTGGATGATCTTGAGCCTTGATGAACTCGATCGTAGTCCTCCTCACGACGTCCCGAAGAAGATGCTGGCCAGCGTTTTAACTCCGGGGCGGATGCTTTGTTCGATGCTCGGTTTACCGGTCGGACGAATGCAGACGCTGTGACTCCCCTTCGTTGTGTGGAAAACGAGAGCTGATAACCTGATGGAATGTAATGAGGACACAGGCTTCCCTCGTTGGCGGGGAGGCCCAGGTCGCAGTAGTCTTTTCCCACTACGAAGGGCTGCTTCGTCGAGATTTAGAGAGGAGAGGGTCTCAGAAGAGAGAGACAAGAGAGAGAGAGTGCCGCCGAAGGGGCGAGGGAGACCAAGCCCGAGGGTCTCGGATTCCCAAGCTCCACAGGTGGCGCCAAGAGGGACGCATCCACAGTCGGGTCTCTTGCTGATCAACCATCAGTAAGATCCTCCGTTCGGATCGTATCTTGGTCCTACTTTTGTATGTGCAACAACAATGGTTACAGCACTTCTACACCTGTCATCCACATCACCCCCCCCTTTATGCGCCACAAATTCATCTTTGCTGAGGATGCATTTTGGCGTTTCTAGAGGCCTTGGACGATATACATGGAAACAGGTGTTGGAAGTTTTGTCATACTGCTGTGTTGCAACATCTTCAACCGTGTCTGAGTCAGATTTTCCGTGTTGAGAAAACACGAGTTCGTCAAGCTTAGTTGAAGATGTGGTCCATAGCAAAAGTACAGAAATCAAACTAAAAATCAAAGATGCTTTATCTCCTGCATGATTCTGACAGAAAATAATTTCTTCCGTTCAGATATATTCTAGGGTGGCCATACCCAGATTGTGTTCACGCAGTTGAATAGCAAACATGGTTTCAGCTACAAAACAGTTTGAAACTGATAGCTTAATATACCATGCCTGGGAAAAAAAAACTTTTTGGCTACAAAACAGTTTACCGATGTGTCACGGAAACTGGTAACTCATTTTACTCATGCACTGTTCGTCATAGCACGCGTGGATCAGGCGCTTGCTGGATGATAGCGCAAAAAAAAACAAAATGTCGCAAAATGACAAACAATCACGGAAAATTGGTCGCGTGGCCAACCGTGTTAATATCTTGATTCCGTCTTTTTTTTTACTTGAATGGATCTTCGTCGAAAACTCACTCAAGATATAGCCGAGAACCAAGGAGTGGACACAACGTAAATGGGGGCCGGTGAAATCGATCTGTCGTTCGCTTGTTGAAACCGTAAAACGTATCCACACGTCGCGTGGTTTCCGTTGGTTTCTTGAACAAAGCTGACAGCAACAATAAGTCATAAGACTCTCTCCTCGCCAGTGTTTTCCCAAGAACACTGAAAAAAAATAAAATAAAATAGGGTGTACCAAAAAATGTACAAAAACCCCTTTCACCGTCACTATCTCCATGTCCCGAGGGTATGGAAAAATATAGTGTTAACGTGTCATTACTATCTCCATGTCACAAGGACATGGAAAAAGATAATATTAACTCGTCCCCATGTCGTTAAAAATAAAACTTAACATAATAAGGAAACAAATTTGAGCCGCAGAACAACAGCAGATAAAATTTTGAGCGCTCTATATCTGGCATTGTTGCTCAATTCCTTGCTTAGGTACGTCTTCGCTTCCTAGTTCGGCAGGGTGATGCTTCGTCCCCCTGCTTGTTGAGGGTGCAAACCGAAGTTGTTTTACGAAGCGCGATATCCAAACCACAACGGATTCGGTATGCAGCTATCATTTCTTGACATTGTGGTACCTCATCTGCGCGGTATTCGAGGTCTGACTCCGGGCCATACCCGCGAAGACGCAAACGNAGTTCGGCAGGGTGATGCTTCGTCCCCCTGCTTGTTGAGGGTGCGAACCGAAGTTGTTTTAGGAAGCGCGATATCCAAACCACAACGGATTCGGTATGCAGCTATCATTTCTTGACATTGTGGTACCTCATCTGCGCGGTATTCGAGGTCTGACTCCGGGCCATACCCGCGAAGACGCAAACGGTATCGGGAATTAAAAGGAGTTCTCGGACCCCGACCATTTTTGTGGCTTACCATTTTGTCTACCACATAAGACTCAATTCTTGGTTGGGCCTCATCAGGGTGATCGATAGCGGGTAACGGAATCTGTCGCCCCAAAAAAAACTCAGCGAGTTTATCAAAGTCGGGCGCAGGCGGTGTTTTCCTCGCAAAATATCGTTTAATATGGGCTAGGTGAACCGAAACTTCTCGAGTTTCTTTTGGGCGTCTCACTCGGTATACTATGGGTGATAGTTGCGAGCAGACGACGTATGGTCCCCGCCAAGGTAACAGCAATTTCGGGTTGGGGCCATCTGAATCCTGATATGGTCTGTATACCAGTGCTTGATCGCCAGGTTTAAACACGGGAATCGGTCTAGATTTTGAATTACTCGCCGCTTGCTTTTTTGTACGTTCCGTTAAGTTTCGGCGCGCTAATTCAAAAGCAATTTGTAATTTTTCCCGCGTGTCTTTCGCAAGTTCTTCGGTATTGGCTGTTGTTCCTACATGAGGAATACCGAGAATGATATCGACAGGTAGTCGTGGATGTCTGCCAAACATGAGGAAGAATGGAGTTTCATGCATGGTAGCACTAAAAGAAGTGTTATGCGCCAGTTGTATGAAAGTTAGTAGCGATGCCCAGTTATCACGCTTCATTGAACTATGCATGGCAAGCATTGCGTGCATCGTTGAATGTAGTCGTTCCGACACAGAATTCCCTTGCGGACGATATGGTGTTGTGCGGGTTTTCTTGTAGTTCAGAATACTCTGTAACTGGTGGATCACACTATTCTCAAATTCAGGCCCTTGATCAGAATGCAACATCTCAGGCGGTCCAAAAATGCCTATGATGCGGTCAATGATAGCCTGAGCAACTGTGACAGCTGATTTATTCGGAATCGGAGTCAACACGGTGAATCAGGTTAGATGGTCCATCATGGATAGGACATATTTGCATCGTACGCCGGCGGCTGACATCGATTCGCTCTTGTATTCAACTAAGTCCACTGAAACTCGCTCAAACGGTCGTTGTACTGGTACGTGTCCAGTTGGCAATTTGGTGCGATTGTGCGCGGTTTTCCGACGTTGGCATGCTTGGCACTCCTGACACCAAGTGCGAACGTCACGACTCATGTTCGGCCACCAATATTTCTGGCGGATCTTGTCATAAGTCGGTCTAGATGCTAGGTGACCTCCGGACAAAACGTGATCGTGGTAAGCGTGCAAAACTAAGCCCGTGAGAGCTTGCGGCAATACTAATTGATCAGTGAAAGTACTCCGTTTCCTGAGGTAACCTGGTAAATACGATTTGAACAGCAATCCGTCTCGTACAAAATAATAGGACATGGTTGTTGCTGTTTCGTTGTCCGGGACTCGTGCGTTTTCCCCCACAAGATAGTCGATGTATTTCCCATACTCGGCTGCTTGTTTTTTTCGCAAGATGTCTCGGTTCATCGTTTCAAAAACGTGGGTCGCGCTGATGTAAACCGAATTAATGGTAAACAATTCGCGATCACTTTGCACTGGTTTTAAATCTTCCAGGCGGTCTGCGGCCACTTGATAAGGTCTGTTCGGTACAGCTACATGCAAAGCAGGATCCTTGGGGACATTCCTACAAATCGGTGTTAGTTTCGGGGCTTCTAAATGTTGCTGGTACTAAAAAGCAAACAACCGAGATAAGGTGTCCGGAACAACATGTAACCTCCCCGGCTTGTGTCGCACGGTAAAGTCAAACGACTGCAGAGCGATAGCCCACCTAGTCAGCATATTTGAAGTGTCCTGCATGGTGTACAAGTATCTCAACGCAGCATGGTCCGTCACAACTTCAAAATGTCTGCCCCATAAATAGGGCCGCCAGTGCTGTATTGCCAGTACGACGGCGTAACATTCTTTCATGGTTGGGGAATAGTGGCGCTGAGCATTGTTGAATCGTTGGCTGAAATACGCAATAATGTTGAGGTCATCTCCTGTTTGCTGCGCGAGGAAAGCTCCAGCACCTGCTTCGCTGGCATCCACGTGCACGACGAAGTCTTTTGTAAAATCGGGAAAGTGTAAAATAGGTGCTTCCGTGAGCAGTCGTTTGACTGTCGCAAACGCCTCATCATGTTCGTTTCGCCAACGTTTTGCAATCGATTTTACGTGCTCTTTTTTAGTGAGGTCTACCAACGGCGCTAACACCGTGGACAAATCTGGGAGAAATTTCCTCACAAAATTTATCATGCCTAAAACTGAACGGAGTTCTTTGATCGTTTTAGGAGCGGGCAGGTCAACAATAGCTTTAATGCGGTCGTCTCCGATTCGAATCCCTTTCGCAGACAAAATGTGACCTAAATATTTTACTTCCCTTGGCCCGAATTGTACCTTGGAAGGTTTTAATGTGAGCCCTGCGGCTTGAAGGGCTTGAAATGTATTTTCTAACAATGTTAGATGACTTTCCCAAGTCGAACTACAGCAAATGATGTCGTCCATGTAAACAAGGAGGCCACTTCGGGGTCCAAAATGTGCAAATGCTAATGACATCATGCGAGCAAATAAAAACGGGGCGTTCGCAATTCCAAAAGGGAGACGTTTAAAAACCCATTTTCCTTTTTGAGTTACAAAGGCGGTCTTCTCTTGCTCCGCTGCTGCAACGGGTATCTGGTGGTACGCGCTCTGCACGTCACACACAGTGATAAACTTTGCTCCACCTACTGTATCAATGTGGGCATTAATATCGGGCATAGGCCACGACTTTCGGATTAAACTCTTATTAATGGTACCGCGATAATCCACACAGAATCGAGGGGTTCCGTCGGCTTTTGCTACAATAGTAACCGCCGATCCCCAAGAACTCGGTCGCTGTTCAATGATATCATCAGCTTCCATTTGTGCTGTACATTTATCGATCACTTCTTGTGCTCGTGGGTTTGCACGGTACGGTGCCCGATCAACTGGTTTTGTACCGGGCTCGAGCGGAAACTCTGCCTCGGTCAAGGTGCATTTCCCCAGTTCTTTCGGCGATAGGGAAAACACATTCCTGTAACGGGCACATAAATCGAGAACTTGAGAGCATTGTTGGGGCGAGAATGTGGTATCCGAAAACGCTTTCTTCATCGCCTTGTTCAATTCATCTCTCTTTTTTCTGAAAGTCTGATGATCATCGTTGACGGCGCTAATCGTTTTTTCAGACACCGTCTTAACTGGAGAAATATACCCTAAGATAGTATCCCGATCCAGGTGAACATGTCTATCAGACGGGTTAGCTATCTGGACCATCGCTGTCTTATCGATTGCAGACCAGTTACAGACTGTTCGCGCGACAACGATGTGACGGAATGCTCGAGGGGTATCATCAGATGATTCAATATCGTCGGCAGTAATAATTCGTGGCTCAACTACTGCAGGAGTAGTCTCCTTTGGGGCGTGGCTAGTCACGACATCAACGGCCATTTCATGTTTCGGAGGAACGCAGTACTTCCTACAAAGATATACTGGCACGGCTCCTTCGGACGGGTCAAGTGCCACAACGGAAACTTGTGCTGATGCACTGTCATGTGGATGTATGTGTTAGATCCCGTGTTCGACGGTGGGTTGCGGGTATTTTCAGCACGGAATTATTGAAAGATGATTCTTCACCTCACCAGTCTAAAATGGCGCCAAAGGCATTCATGATGCTGTTATCTAGCAACATATTATCCGGACCCAGGTTCGGTAAAACCAATGCTTCTACTGGCAACGAGATATCGCCTAGTGTGAGATTGAACCGTAGATATCCCAAAATTTCAAGAGGTGACCCGTCAGCACTTTTTAATTGTATCGCTCCAGGTGGAACTGGACAAAGCGTTATATTTTTTAGTGAGGGGTGCTCCTGCAAAAATTTCGCTGAAACACAAGGTACATCAGCGGCTGTGTCGATTGTGGTTTCAGACACAGGGTGGTTGTTCACTCGAGCGGGAATATGTACCCGTTTCGATGTGGAATCCAATGCAGTTGGAAATTTCGGATATTTACTCAACGCAGATGCGTGAAAAGCTGCAAATCGTGAACCACGACGCAACGCACGCGAAAACCCATAGGGTTTAATTTCTTTATTCAAAGGCTCTCCAGGCGGAACATGTCGTACTTGCGGGGCTACTGCTAAGGGTCTGATACTAGTCTTCTTCCCTCTTCGGCGTTGCCCTGCACTACTACTACTACTACTACTGAAAAATTGTCCCTTGTTTGGTGCCTTGCTATTATATATAATAGGTGTTTCTGATACCAGAGGAGAACCAACCGATTCCACAACCTCCTTACGTGTAACAGAATTATTCCTATCAAAAACTCGGCCTGAAGTTCTATCCACTTCTCGTGCCCGATGCAAAATGCAATCCCTCGTTTTTCCACCCTTCATGGCAACATTAGTTGAGCAAAGTACGGCATCTCGCGCTACCTCACTCCTCTCAACTACTGTTGCATCGGTGGTCCTGCTCCCTTCGGGCGAGGGGTCCCTTGAAGGGCCCCATCATCCCGTCAAAGGTCGGCGCTCCCATCCACCTTTCCTCTCCTTTTGGCGAAGGTGACAGTAGTCAGTGTCGTGTGTGTCGGGGTTGGGACACCCGGGGTAGTCGCAGTGCCTTTTTTGCTTAGTTCTCGGTTTGTCCGTCTGCGTGGACCCCGAGGTGCGCTTTGGTTGCGTTGTCTTACTGCTAGCGCGCCGCGACGGTCCCCGGGGGTGGCTGCTTGTGGCGGCATCACGCGACTTGAGGTGCTTGACCTCAGCAGCCAACTCCCGGAGTTCGGAGGTGTGAGCCTCCACCGTGGACCGCAGCTGTGGCCGGTCATGTGAGACAGCCGAAGCGTGTGCAATATCGAGGGTTGTGGGAGAAATGCCTTTTAGATTGTTTGCCTCGTGCTTCTTTGCACGGTAACGAGCTTCTTGGAAACTCACAGTTGCGTCTTCTCGAACAGTCTCCACTCTGATTTTTGGGATTAAACCGTTCTCAAACGTTGCAGTGGTAAATATATCCCATGCGTGTTCGTGTGAGCTGATATTCGGCGGGGCGGATCGAGTAGTTTCCGCAAGAAGGCGCGCGCGTGCTTGTGTGACTCTCAATGCATAGGTATCCACGGACTGATCTACTGCCTGTTCCAAAGTGGCAAATTGTCGGGCCAAAATGGATATGCGGTTGGGAGCGGAGAACTGAAAGTAAAGGGCGTGACAGTATTCGGCCCAGGAGGAAGGAGCCACCGGCCGAGTACTTGCACCCTTTGCACGAAGCTCAGCTAACTGTTCTGCGTTACGCCACTCGAGCGTTCCCTGGGTCAACTGCAACAGGGTATCGTACGCAGCCCCTCGCAGAAGAAGCGGGAGGTATCGCACAGCACGTTGGTCGACTACATGGTCAGGGCAGTTGTCGACTGAGTTCAGTTTCACACGTGCACGGTATTGCGCCAAAAGTTCTACAATATCTTGCCCAGGTGCCCCTGAGAAAACAAGATCTTTGGGTAGGTCTGCGGGTTTTAAGACGAAACGAGCAGACGTACCCGTAGTGTGCGCTGACGGGTGTTCATCAGCGCACACAGTAGAGTGTGTAGGTGAGGCATTCGACATCACTAGAGGTTCGCTAGTCCTGCTGGTGTTGTCGATTTCTCGTGGGGTCTCTACGGATTGCGGAGAAAAATCGTTTACTAATTGCTGAGACGGGATAGGTGACTGCTGTGAAGCAAAATTAGATGGTATGCTGTTGTCACGCCGGAGGTTCGGGCGGGCACTACCCTCGCTACCAACGTTGGGTTCGTGTCGGACAGCAGGCATGCTACCACCTACAGTATTCACCTTTCGCGAGTTGGCGGGCAGTACAATGGACATGAGCCATTCGGGAGGTTCGGTCCCATCACGGTGGTGCTGTTTCAGCATCTCCACAATGGGTGCGCCAGCCGGAGATGTAAGAACCTCGGGCTCCTCATCTTCGGGTTCCTCCTCATCGGCCCAACGCCCCTGCTGCTCCCGACCGGCGGCAGGAGGAACATCCTCATACTCGTCTCCACTCTCGCCGTCGACAAACGTGTCGCGCTGACCGGAATCACCGCCATCTTCACCGCCGCTGGTGGCACTCGCGCGGTCAGCACCCTCAGGGTCATCCGACTTTTCCTCAAGAAGGCTGCTATCACCCGAGGGGCGTGAAGCCGGCACGCGTTCCGAGGGTGTCCCACGTGCTAGCGGGGTTGTCGGGTGTTTGGCGGCGAGGCGTTGCTTGAGCTGCTCTAGCTCAGCTTCCAGCTCAAGGCGGCGTTGCTGCTCCTTGAGCCTCTTTTCCTCCGCCGCGTCCGCCTTATCGCGAGCGCGTTGCACGGCTGATTTTTTCGGCATCTCTCACCTCTACCTCCAGTACCAGCAGAGTATCTTTTAATTCGTCGACGCCAATGAGGACACAGGCTTCCCTCGTTAGGGGGGAAGGCCCAGGTCGCAGTAGTCTTTTCCCACTACTAAGGGCTGGCAGTTCTCTTCGTCGAGATTTAGAGAGGAGAGGGTCTCAGAAGAGAGAGACAAGAAAGAGAGTGCCGCCGACGGGGCGAGGGAGACCAAGCCCGAGGGTCTCGGATTCCCAAGCTCCACAGGTGGCGCCAAGAGGGACGCATCCACAGTCGGGTCTCTTGCTGATCAACCATCAGTAAGATCCTCCGTTCGGATCGTATCTTGGTCCTACTTTTGTATGTGCAACAACAATGGTTACAGCACTTCTACACCTGTCATCCACACAAGTACTGTTTCGAAAAGCTGCGCAAATATTTGATTGCAGTCAACTACTGTTGTGAAAGGTGCGCAAATATTTGGTTCCAGTCATGTACTGTTTTGAAAAGCTGCGAAAATATTTGGTTCCTGTCAGTTGCTGTCTTGAAAAGCTGCGCAAGTTAAGCTGCGCAAATATTTGGTTCGGAGCAACTACTCCCGGAGGCCACTCTCGGTCAACTATTCATATTTGTCCTGACAACTATTTTGAACATTTTGTGCTTGAAAGTGAGGGGGCGGGGGATAGGAGGGAGCCCAGCCTGATGTCATTGGAAGGAAGATTGAGATTGGGTCCGGACACTTGCATCCTCGAATCAATAGTGCGTGCATGTATCTGAGCAACCGTCATCGAGCCGTAAATCAACAAGATGAAGTCAATCGAAGCGACAAAAAAAAATGAGTTTTGCCCCGACTATATATTTATATTACATCACGTCCATCATCACCGTTCACGCGAGTTGAAGCCACCCAGAACGAAGAAGAATGAGTTGCAATAGACCAACCGAACACCATCCCGGTAATCCTCTCGTGACCAGAGACCACGGTAGTCTCGTGACCACTAAGTATCGGCAACTACTTTCCAGAAATGTTGAGCAAATATTTGATTGCATTTTAGTACTGTTTCGAAAAGCTGAGCAAATATTTGGTTCCAGTCAATTACTGTTTTGAAAAGCTGCGCAAATGTTTGGTTCCTGTCAACTGCTGTCTTGAAAAGTTGCGCATCTCTTTGGTTCCGAGCAACTGCTGGAAAGCTGCGCAAATTTTTGTTTACAGGCGAATACCCGTAATAGTTGGTAACACTCAAATAATAGTTGTATTTACATTTGATATTTGTACAGGGCGTGAAAACATTGGACACCAAACCAATACGCCCACCTCCATGAACAAGCAAACCAAAACTGACCATGTGTAGCATACAAAGCAGCGGCACACTAATTACAAGAGGCGTGATCAATACGCTCTCCCGCACAATGCCAGGGGGGCTCTCTCATGTCGGCGCAAGGATCCGCCATTCTCTTTCGTCCGAAAAGGTTGGAAATCAATACATCAGTAGTCGACAGCAGTGGTGCCGTCATCTGGATCCAATCAACTGACTACATTCAAAACAACAAAGCAACGGTAGCAGTCGGCATTGATGCTCTTACCTGTATCCAATCGACCGACTGTGCAAAGCAATTCAGCAGTACCGCAGAAAATTCGAAATTGGTGCTCTTGCCTGTATCCAATCGACCGAGCCGACGAGGGAAAGGGCTCGGCTCTGACTCTTGGGGTCCGTCACCTCCAGCGATGCCCCCACCACGGTGCCCTTCTCGTCCACGAGCTTCCCGTCATCCTTCACAACGAGACTCCTGTGACGACATATGCAGCGTGACATCACACCAACGCACGCCGGTGTCGAACCAACGACGGCAAGTATAGCGACACATCAACATAGGACGGCGCCAAACCGACACCCGTGTTGACAACATGGCATGCCATCCCACCAACATATAGGATGGCGTCAAAGCAACACCCGTGTTGACAACATGGCATACCGTCCCACCAACATATAGGACAGCGTCAAAGCAACACCTGTTTGCACCAAGATATTTGTCCCTCCCCTCAGTACTTTCGCGACACAAAGGCGTTACCGGCCGGTGGTTGACAGCTTAGGACAGCATGCAGCAACAATTCAGAACCCCCACTGCTGGAACGCGGTCCTTGACAACGAGACAGCCAACGCTGTGACGACGGAGCGAACAACAAGAGCCACACAAACTGCACAGGGGACATGACTCGACTATTCCGCGAAGAATACGAATAAACACGATTCAAAGTGGTTTCCCAAACGAACAGCTACATCGCTGGTGATCAAACAGCAAACAGCTCGCAGCATGTACCGTCCGTATCGGCGCCGCCCTGCGTCCGGACAAGCAGCCTAACCGATGGACTCGTCTACATCGTCCGTCAGCAAATAGTTCAGCAGAAGCACAAGCTAGAAGAGCAGTGGAACGCTAACCCAATGGGTTGGGGCGTTTGCACGACGAGGCAACCGCGAAGGGTCTCGTGGTCCCTTGCCTTTTCGACGTCGACCTAAGTTCGCCAGTCGTATTGTCGTCGCACAGGACTGTATCGGCCTGGTCTTGGAAGAGAGCCCACCCGCTGATGGCTCCGTCTGCCTTTGCCCCTCTCGCATCAAGCCACAGCTCCAGTGGCCTGAAGAGTGATTAGAGGGGGGCGGGAGGGCGGGGTAGCCACGAGCCAAAAAAACATTCAGCTGCTCTCTTGACAGCTTATAGTTGTAGAAGGATAGGTGGAGCGTCAAAGAGTCGGGGCGCCGCTTCATGTTGTCTTGGAAGCGCATAGAATGTTCGTTTCTCCGAAGAATGTTCTCGCCGTGATTCGCCAGTGAAGTGGTGAGTGCAGCCCGCCCCAGGAAGCGCCCGGTAGGCAGAGGGTGCACCACCAACACTACCATCAAATACGATTCCACATGTAATTGAGCAACTTGTATGGAGGGATAATCACCGTCCGTGCGTGATGGATACATGACGTGTCCGGCGTGCGCTGTGCAGCAACATCAACATCACCGACAAAAGCAGATCTGCGTATGAAACATGTAGCTTTGAATACTGTTGTCTCTGTACGCCTGTTTTGACATATCCGCAACACGAGAAGTACGACCCGCGCAGCGCATAAAAACCACAACAGCCACGAGCTGTAGCTTCATGGGCATCCTTCCCTCTGCTGCTGCTGGTCGAGTCTTCAACGAGTGAGTGCACAGGTGCACAACCGCCGCAGCTGTCACCAAGCTCGACACATGTTTCACTTGCCGTTGCCTCGTGTGTAGATCCCTCTCACCTGCTCGTTCCAGTGGCCGCAGAAGCACAGCCAAGCGCACAATCAAATCGGCTCCTCTTGACAGCGTGCCGTACGGCTGCTGGATGGGAGAGTCCTTCAGCAGCGGCGGCGGTCCCGCATGTTCTGAGGCATGCACGGCATGCGCTCCGTACTGCAGCCGTCGGTGCGATACTTTGGGAAACGAAGCCCAGGACGTCATGATTTACCCCAGTAAGCGCCATCAGGACGCACGGTGTTGAAGAAGAGAGCACATGTGATCGTGGTCGGTCGCGCATTGTGTAGGGTAGAACTGAGACGTGTCCAAAGCTACAGCAGTAGCGGCACGCAAGTGTCCCCCGGGTATTCCGCCGCTATCGGTAGTAGTGGGGTCCACCTTTCTACAGTAACATCTGCGTCGCCGCTCAATGTGCAGGGCTGTTCCGAAAACACACAGCCAGCCAAGGCGGGCACGGCTCCCGGGACATGAGCAAATACGACAACACATTGTTGACCCCAGCCACCTGCGTGTCGAGCGATGACGGCATGACGATGTCGACGGCGGGAGGGAGTCATCGGGGGAGATGGACCGGCCGGTTTGGGAAGCGCTCCTCCCACAAAGACCTGCTGCTGACGTCGAAAACTCCGCAGCCGGCGACAACAAGCAGCATGACCTCGGATCCCGCCGCTGACATCGAGAAGAGGAGGGCGAAGACGTCGAACATCATCAAGCGTGCGGTACACAAGATAAACAAGAAAAGGAGGCGGTCCTTGCCTCCCTCTCAGTCCCGGTCTTCTTCTTCGCGTGGTGCTGCTGTTAGCGAGGAACCTCCGAAGGTAAGAAAAAAGGCCGCATGAAATGACGAGTTTGCACGGTCGTGACACCGTCCGTGCGTGGACTAAACCAACGCTGCGGCGTCGCTTTGACGCCACTACTCCCGTTGCTTGCCTCATCCAGGTGCCCCTGCTGGCACATGGCACAACAGAAGCCACGTACTTTTGCACAGACGTCGTTTGGCGTTTGAAAACCGAGAAGGCGACTCGCTCCGGTTGTCCGGGAAGACGAAGAAGTATGTATTTGCACGAAGTGCAACCAAGAAGTTAGAAATTCCCGCGTCACGGCTGGACGACCTTGCATGGATTCCGGCTACACTTCCGTCCCCTCCCCCGCCACATGTGCCTCGATCCGCCCGTTCTTGAGTGTCATCATGATATACCACAGTCCCAGCTTTGTCGTGATGTTATGTAGACTTAAGAAGGAGTGGAGAAGCGGCGTTTTTTTCCACTGCTGGACGTCGGACAGTGAACAGGCCCAGCGTTCATTTAGCCGCCTCCCGAACCGCGAACCCGCCAAACCAGCTTCTAGAAATCGACGACAAAGAAGGTAGCAACGATTATTGATTGTTGTGTTGCAGCAGTAGCAGTAGTGCCATTACGACCTATTGCCCACCTGGCCACTTGGTTTCACAGCAGTAGGCTCAACCACAAGATGTGGGCGTTGCCCTTGCGCATTTTTTTCTTTGTGCCTAATATTAACCCGTGCTGTGTGATGTCTTCAGGGCATGTCTTGTCGCTCTATTAGACCGAACAGGGAAAAATCGTTGTGATTTAACACACACCTCTTTTCCAGGGAACACCTGAGCGCGCGCATGCGGCCCGTATGTCCGCAAAGGCAACAAATACAACCATGGGATGCAGAAAGACGAGTGGGGGGTAGAGGAAGGAGGAGGTGGCGTGTAGGTTTCCAAGGAAGCTGTTGACGAGCACACATCAAATACATGTGCTAGGTATCGGCAGGAACAGGCGGTGCTAATCATGCAATCCGTACCCTCGACGGTGCTCTGGAAGGCTTTCTTTTTGAGTTGTGGTCCATGGCAGCTTGACGTTTCTGTGACACTTTATTTTCCCCTACACAACGGCCTCGCGACCATCCGCCGCTGTTCATTCTTGCATGCGAATCCAAGCGAGGCACCTGATGTTGGCGGCAATGCTTGTATACAGCTTGAACTGGTAGCTTGCAGCCTGCAGCCACATGCCCGAGGGTGATGACGCACATCCCACGACGTCCTTAATTGTCACCGAAGAGCCCGTGTTCCACGTTTTTTATGGTCTGTTGGCTAATTTTAATGAATGACGGAGTGAGTGAAATTTTTTGTGCGGCGGAACTACCTCAAACAGGGTACGTGTGTGGCTCTTCTTCTTTCCAGGAAAGTTATTTTGTGTGGCCAGCCAATCAGACAAGAATTGCGAGTTCCCTGTTCCCTGTTCCCTGTCCAGAAAAGGGACGTTGAGACACGCCCTCAGCATACATCTCCAAGCGATAGACGAGGCACACGAAACTTGAAACTCTTTGCTGTCTCTCTTTTCCACACGCATCCTCCCCCACGCAACCATCTGCTGCTTGCTCAAATGTATGGTACATCAAACAATACACCTGGTACTGCACTTGGAAGTGCATATTACAAGGTTCTGCACCCTTCTTGTGTGTAAGCGTTGCTGATATGCACACATCGTATACACCGAAAAGGCTGCACGGCGCCAACAGAGTGAATGGTATCCATACGAACATCAAGCACTGGACATCCCGCTTTGTACACAGCCTTCCCTCTCAAACAATGCACAGAAGTAGATACGTGTTGCTGAAGATCCTGGATCCGGGGTCGCACAATGCCCGTGAGGTAGATGACATGGAGGCTTGACATCTTAGACCCCTTCGTACATTGCGTAGGGCCGTAGGTGACATACGGTATCACGCCCCCTGGACAGATTGCCAAACACTCGACTAAACACTCCACGATGACGAGAATGGAGAACGCGAACGATGATGGGGTTTTGGAAAGCTTCCGACGAGCTGGTGCCGATGCCGCCGCTTTCGGCACCATTTTTTTTCTGCTGTGGATGGAGTAATCTAGCTTTGAAAGTCGGTCCGCAGCGGTGTGGCAGCTTGCCTAGGCATCATCTTACACCGTTGGTGAAGCTCTTTACTCCTGAGCACCCGGTTCTCACCAAGTGAATGACGACTTGCGGTTCAACTATTGTCCGCCCTCCGTGCCCCCCAACCGCGCACACCAGATCGACGACCTCGGGATCGATCCGCGGCTGCTGGAGAAGTGGAAGGCCCGGAAAGAGCTCAAGAAGCAAGGGGCGGTGGCGGGGGGAAGGCCGGTGTCGGCATCCAGAGGGACGGCGACGCTTGTCATGGTGGGGCTGTCATCTGGGTCGCTGGTGTGGACAAAGGAACGGATACGGACGTGGAGCCAAGCTCACGGGGTTCTGCTGGCGTTGTGCGTTATGATTGCCGCGGTGGCTATCGCTTGCACCCTTATCTTGAGTCGATGTTCTTGAAAAGGCAGGGTTTTTTTCTGTTAGGCTTCGGATGGGGCCATGATTGACATGTTCATTTTTAAGAGAAATGCGCCTGTTGTGCATGGGACGATCTGGCTTCACGGAAGGCACCCGACGCTTTGGAGGTGTGCTGTGCGGTACATACTGTTATTGACCTCGCGCAGAACCTGTTGGACTGTCTTTCGTGCGTGCGTGATTTCTTTGTATGTACCAATACAACGTTAGGGTGACATTTCGTTGTTTGATTTTATTTATAGAAGTGTTTTTGTGAAAATGAATCAAGCCCCCCCCGATGCTATCAAACTCACGGGCGCTCTATCTACCTACTTCGTAGCTCAGTATTTGTGTTGTACTTGTATTCTGCGCAAGAACCGGGGCGGATTCGTGAGGGTGATAAACCTACACGCGGGCCCTTCCACAAGATGCAGTTATGTTTTGCTTGTTGTTCCTTTGTTAAAACAGTCTATGCTGTCACAGCTGCTATCTCCGTCGACTCACTTTTGCATTCGTATTATTTGAAATTTCGGTCGTTTGAGAACTTTGTTTGCATATTTTTTCCTTGGTGAACGCTGCCATGCTATTGTGGGCTGTCTTCGTGCACTTGTTGTAGAGATTTCCTGCCCTGTCTCTACCGCTTCCACGTCATCTGCTTTTTTGTCCTTCCAGAGCCATGTGTCACGGATGTTGTGATGCGGGCGTTCTCGATATTTCCCTCGAGACCTTTCTCTAGGATATGTACGTGGCGAAGTTCATGAGGAATGAGTAGCAGACGTCGGCCCGGTCACGGAGTTTGTGGCTTGCGCTGGAGACATGTTGAGCTGGATCCATGTGACCACCGTAAGTTTGTACAGCCACCTTGGGCCAAGATAATGCAAGTTGTAAATACGGGGTGTATGAAATCTTCCTTTTTTGTCTGTGAGACGCTGTGACGTGGTCTCAAACAATCAACCGATGTGTATCGAGACTGCTGTGCATGAAATTTTCCGGAAGGGTCGAATGATGACATTGGTTTGGTTTCATTATCCGAACGCCGCTGACATGAACGTATGGTTCGACGAAGCTCTTGATTGGCTCGTAGGCAAAGCATATTATCCTTTTTTTCTCGTTGGTGTGGCCTTGCGGAATCTGCCTCGGATTTCCCTGGAAAGCAGGACATGGTGTTCGCGGTCGACATGTAGTTTCCCCGAAGTTTGGCTTTGCTCCGTAAGTATGTAGACGGAGTAATAACGAGAGTTACATCGTGTAGATATCTACCAAGCAAGGTGGTGGCAGTCTGCATCAGACAGGGCAAATTATTGAAAGCTTGCATCATGATAGACTGAAAGAAAAAATGGCGGCCTGCCTAAGAAAGGAAGACAGAGAGAGAAAGTGGTTGTTTCGCAGCGTCAGAGCCCATACATAGATATGGTTAACTCGCACATAACGGAGAGAAGGCAGGCGCTCTGAACATAAATGCGTTTTAGTGTGTCACGAATGAAGCAAAGGACGAAACACCTGACGCCCAATGAGGGGGTCACCCACTCTTGGCATATTTTTGCCGACAACCGTGCGGGCACACATACACCGGTCGCCCCGGTGGTGTAGTGGGTAGCCTCGTAGCCTGCTAAGGGCCAGGTCATGGGTTCGAGTCCCGACAGAGTGAGATTTTTCTCGCTAATTCAATTCTGGTCTCCGTTGGAAGCGACGCGCTGACAAGCTCGTTGTTGGTAAACTTGATCGACTTCATAAGTCGCAAGGGAAGGGATTGCTGTACCCTTCTCGCGACAAAAAAATCTCAGGCAGGAATCGCAGGAGGGGGTCCAACCCCCCCCTCCTATGTGACCCCGGTTGGGTCGTCTAGCTGGTAGGAGTGGAGGATGGGGGCCAGAGGGGCAGACGACAGAATCCAATGATGGGAGCAAAACACAAAAAAAGAACATACTTCACAAATCGCCACAAAGGGGTATTTACACAAGTTTGGCCCACCCTTGTACGTGGGTACATGTGAATGTAGATGTTTACTCCTCTCTTTCCCCCTGTGCTATGTACTTACTACATGTTACAGCAAACATTTTCGAGGTGAGATAGCCTTTCTTGGGTACAATATTTTAGTGGTTCTACTGCTGTTTTGCGAACGAAAGCATCTTTTGTGCATTGAATCGAATGAAAGCCGTTTTTTGTTATTTGAGTAAAGGTTTCATCGGCATTATTTTTTCGGCGGAAACAGAAAAATAGTCTAGTTTTGGTGTCAATATAAGAGGGACCTCCGCGACAACAATTTTACTTTGATGTTTATCCTGGCGAAACAGCATTACGACGGGATCCACAGACGGCGGGAAGGAACAGCGCAATGAACTCTCTCACCTCGTGTTCACACGGGCCTCGAGGGGAGAGTTGGGATAGTCGTCTTATGAATAAAGTGCAGACAGCAGTATTAGTCGTCGTCCATTATTGAAAATCCGACGAAAAGTAACCAGAAACGGGAATGTACGTAGACTATGCCCGGGTGGATTATCACCATTTCAGGGTACACTTGGAAATCAACATGATACCAATCTCCGGCAGCATCCGCTGTAGATCGCGGCTAAACCAACAAATAAACCGCTGTCTGTGTACTGCTGTGCCTCGGAAGCATGATGATGCGCGAGGCAGGTCGTACCCGTTTTTTTCTCTGTTACTCTCTCTCTGTGCCTCTCTCTCTGTGTGTGCTTTGACTGGTCAGCACCACACACACCGAACGATCTCGCGCGTCAAGCGTGTCCGACCCTCTGTCAAGGGGGGCCGGTATCCTACGGAGGCGGTGCCCATCAACGAGCGAGTGTTGTTGGTGGTTTGGTCGTTGTGGGTATGGATGTGCGGTACACGTTTTTTTACTGCGGGTATAATTCTACGTCCGGCGCCGGGATTGTATGACCATTTCTGGGTACAAAATCGACCTCTTCCGGGTAGACTACATCAGCAACCAATATCGGTCACACCAGAGGGTCCTAATGCCAGCGGTTGTACCCGATGGAGGCTTCTTCCGAACGGGTACGATGGTTTTTCGGCTAATCAGCTGACAGCCTGGGAGTGCAAGTGTGTTGTTTTCCACGTGAACCTAAAGTGGTGATAGAGTACCCGTTTCTGGATATCGGTCAACTTCGAAACTAACTTTCGCTGCAAACATACTGTCCGCCTCCCCCCCCGTGTCGCACCCAACCGACGAGTGCGGGGGAACAGCGGGAGCAGCCGGATCCGTATCGACCTCGAGCGGTTGAGGAAGGACAAACACCTACGGGCCGCCTTCCAAAACAGGGCGTCCAGCCGCCCTCCGCACACGGCGCTCAGGCGGCCGCCGAGCTGACGGCTACGGTGATGTCGGCCGCTGCTGAGACCGCGCCGCTGGCGAGCTG